GGATAATTTTTTCCCGTGTCGGCGAACAGATGGTGTCCAACCGCGATTTCAATTTCGCCGAAACCGGATCTGTAGCACGTGGCGATGGCGTACAGGAACGAGAGAACGCGTCGCCTCGAAACAGGGAGCAGTTTCGATCGCTGCGCGATCCAAGGAAAATTAACTCCGTAGGACGCCACGTAAATGACAAATCTCCTCGAGTTCTATGGGTACACGAAACATACGACGCACCGTCGTCGCGCGCGCGGCTCGTAAGTTTCATCGATGTTCAATGATATATTCCCGTTTCAAAGTTTCCCGGGTCGGTCTCCGTTGGCAGGAACATTAGGAAATCCCCTGTTCGGTGGAATTTAGTTATCGTCCTTCCGATTCTTCGGAATATCGTGATTATACCGGGCACAAACAAGTAGGGCCTCTCTCGGACCGGAAAAACGTGCCACGGCGACCGCGCAGGAGCGTAGAATGGGACGAGCGATGGCACAAATGGTCCGTATTTCAATAATGATAAATCACCGTGGTTCGATGCAACGACAGACTTGGCCGGTTTCGAGATCTCGCCGAGAGATACCGCCGTCAGGGGTCTATCTGGTGCCTTCTATCTTATGCGGTCCTGTCTCCTCCTATATGCGCCCTACAGGACGCTTCAAACTTGAAAAGTTCAAACGGCAACGGCAGCCGTGACTCTCATCCGTGAACGAAACGAAACGGCTCGTAGAAAGGACAAATTTTATACGACCATTTCCGATTGCAACGTCAAACCTTTCATTCTAATGAATTTCAACCGTAATAACGGACTGAAATTTTCAGACTCTAATGCATGTTCTACGCCGCTTTATGTGCTAATACAACTTTTATGAGGTTCGCCGATGATGCAACGAGTATTAATAATTATTGGTATCTGAATCGTGGCCTTTCGCAAGTGGATAGAGAACAATAACCCGCGCGGAATGCGCCCCGGCGTTGTCGGTTATTAGTAGGTGTTACGGTTACTTCTAATTCGTTATTTTCGAATTCGATGCCGCGAACAATGGAGCAGGTTTCATTGCGACTCGGCTCGACAGCTCGGGAAAAGATCGGCGAAAGTTTCATCGTTTGTCGTTTGTCGTTTGTCTCCCGATTAAGTCGATTAACGAATCGATTCGATTCGAAATCGACCGAAATGAAACGATAAAGCGATACAAACGAAATTTCAACTCAGAGTTTCAATAGGAAAATTTCGAAAAGCCAATTTGCCTGTCCGCTAGTTTTACCGTTAATCGAAATTCGGTCGCAGCTGCGAGCAACAAATAATAAATTCCGGATTCTCGGGGTTTCATTGGTTGTTCGAGGTGGCAAATCTGCCCCACGCGGCCGCGTATGGTACGCGGCACACCGAATTGGCCAGGATCTGATCAATATTCAAAGACACCCCCGGTTTTGCCGTGAAACCGAGCATGGTCGTTGCTCGAATGAGATACCGAGGAATGTTGCTGTTTGAAATTTCCCGTAAGCGCATAAGGATTCGGCGATGATCGATCGGACGATCCAACCACGATCGACACCAGAAACGTCTCGGACACGTTCGAACGGACGCTATCGTCACCGATCACGCGAAATCCCGCTACATCGAGAATAACTCCTGATAATTGAATACTTTAATGCACGTATTTATAGCGAAAGGTCAATGGTAATCGAGCTTGTATCCGGGGAGCGACGATAAACGCGGGTGAAGGACAACGCGCGCTCGCGCGGCTCGGCTTGTCCCATTTCTGTGGGAAAACCCGAGCACGGGGTGCGAGCGACAATAGAGATAATAACAGAGCCGCGTTAAAAATAGCGTCTACGTGCGCGGCTATCGTCGGAGACTCAAAGAAATTAATCATCACCGCGCGGCGCGGACGAATTTGATCTTATTTCAACGTTCGATAGCGTCTTCGTGTATCGAGGTCGTACGAGGGGAGAACGGAAAGAAAGTAGCAAAATCGGTTTTCAAAATCGAAGATCACGCGAAACATTCCGACCCTAGTTCTAGACAACTTTTCCCGTAAACTTGTTCGGGCCGTCAATCGCGCGACCACGTGACGCGACAAAATGGCCTCCGAGACGAAGACACGGCTGCGTAAAGATGGCGCGTCGCGTGTCCCGCGAGAACCGAGATCGCGAGCGAATTTAACGCCACATTCCTGGCCAGAAATAGGAAAAAAGACAAAGCCCGCGGTGGCGGACGTTGAGTCAGCGACAAGGGCTACACGCGAGGACGCGAGGACGCGAGGACGCGAAGACGCGAAGACGCGAAGACGCGCGCCGACAAAGCCGGATGCGTAGGTTACGCGTCCCTGACCTAGGATGTCTTGATATTAACAAAAGGGTGAGGTGAGCGAGCGACGGTGAACACTGTGTTCGGCGCAGGGACGCGAAGCGGCAGGAGACGAAAAGAGGAGAACCGAGGAACGCGGTAAACGAGCGTGAAAGAAGGGAAGCGGAGGGAAGCCCCTTCGAAGCCGGGCAGCGTTACGGACGCATTACGCGTTACGCGTTACGCGTCGGCCAGCTGAAAACGCGGCAACAAAGAGCCCGCGGGAAACAAAAGAGCGATCTCGACGAACTGTCCCGCCTCGTTAAAGCGCCGAACCGCCCTCCGCTCCGTTCTCCTTCCTTCTTTCCTATTTCGTTTCGTTTCTTATTTCGTTTGGGTATCGGTGAATCGATTTCTATGCTGATCTTCTCCGAGAAGCTATCTTTTTAAGCGCGAAACTTTCATGTTTATCGATTCGTCCAGGGTCACCCGGTATGCAGCGTGCAGACGTTTCCGCGTGAATTCGTCGCGTCGAGGGAAAATCGCGCTACCGCGAGCCTACGTGCTGGAAATCTCAATCAATCCGGCAGTCCTGCCTGCTGGAGAGTCTCTTCTCGGAGGAAACGAGACGGAATCGAGCAGCGGGAGAGTGGGAGAGGAAGAGGGAGAGGGAGAGGGAGAGGGAGAGAGAGAGAGAGGCCACGGCCGCGAGGATACGGCTGTGTTTAAAATCGAACGGAAATCCAGTCGAACCGTCTACCGCCATTGCACCGGTTACTAATAATAGAGTAGATACTGGAAGGATAGAAATACGACTTCCTTCGCCACTCTGTACCCTTCTGCGTCCCAAGAATAACGGGCTCCGTGTTCGATACACACCCGAACGAAATAAGGGGTCAGGGGCGGCAACCTAATTCGAGCGTCGGATACAGACGGCGGACCATTCGAATGGGGACCGAGCATCCCCCGACATCTCGTTATTAATCCGAACAACCCACTGGGAGACCTACGAGAATCCTACGAAATTTCAATCTACGATCATGAAAAGCTTTCTTTTCATCTGCTAGTTGGCTCTCTTTGCGCTGTTCGGCATAAAACAGGCGAAATTTCCATCAAGATCTAGAGTGCACCGACAAGTAGACTGTGGATTTTACGCGTTTACAGCATTCGAGACCGCACGAAACAGCTTACCAAACAAGTCATTGTTTCGAACTTGCCCGCAGTGGAAAATGATTGATTTTCAGTTAACGGGGTCTGGGGAATTAGCCTGAACGATCGAACGAACGTTGCCCTGACTTTCCGAAAAGGAAATACCGATGAAAAGATTCTCGACGCGGCACGCCGCCCACGCTGCTAATCGAAAGTTTCGAGGTCCATTGCCAACGCCGAGTCTCTACTTCTCTCTTTTTTCTTCTTTTTAAACAATACATTTCAACAATATCGGCGACGCGATCGAAAGCAACTTTCACCGGAAGAGCCGGTCGGAGTCGTCCATTTTCCTCGATCGAAAGATCAACGAGTAGCTCAACAATTGGGGTATTCGATTCGCGTATTCAACCTCGATCCGGTAACTCGATACCCTGACGAGTTTCGACGATCCTCGTCCCACACGGAACACACCGATCGGACTCGATCGTGTTTCTTCTATCAATGGAATATATCAATAGAGTATCAATGGAATATCAATGGAATATCAATGCAATATCGATTAAACGAAGACGGAGGATAACTGCTACGGTGACCAGTCGAATAGCTGGTAATCTCGGGTAATGTATGAAATCGGATATAGGTATATAATACAGTTGAATTGCGCGGTCATTTGACCGGTCGCGGTGCGTTTAGCGTTTGAAAAATGTAAATCGAAGAGAAAAGAATGACGATGAAATGTTCTCCGTCTTGTTGTCCGGTCACTTGTTGGAATTCGAATTTAGGTTGCGTTCCGATCGAACAAACTAGACTCGAAAGATTTTTCTGAATAAATTTGTCAAGCTGCTAGGCGAGCCTTAAGAATTCCGTACGTCCGTGTTCTTTAAAGCACAGCACGCGAAGCGAGGCGAACACTCGTGTTTACACGTCCCATAAAATATGAAAGGCAACAAGGCTGATTTATCAGCAGCATACTTCGAGCCGGCTATGAAATTTCCTCAAAGAAATATCCTCGTAGCTGCGCACGATAACGGCGTCTCAATTTACGTCTACGTCGTCGTTTCGGTCGTCGCAGACTTCATCTGCCTGTGCAATATCGTCCGAGCCACTAGCCGAACGCAACGGGAACGACAATATCTGCGTCGCGTCAAAGGGAAATAACCGGAAATTATAATTCCATCCGCGGCACTTATAAATCACTTTTCAGTCCCGCGTCCCTCGTCTCTGTATTTCCAAACTACTTTGTAAACGGAACGAGACTACTCGCGAAAGCTTCCTCGTTTCTTATCCGAACGAGATATCTCGGGCAACGAATGCGTCGACAGAGGTCGACCGTCGATCGCTCCGATGCTTAGACGCTTCGTCGAACTTTGCGTATCGCCGATTCGAAAGCTTTTCGCCTCTCGTCGAAAAGTAAAGCGGGCCGGACCTAAGATTTTCGGGATCAAAGAAGACTGGTCGGATCGGTGGGGGGCACATCGAGGGAAAAAGAATCGTTTCCAGAGTTTCCTCGGAGGCCTCTGGCGGCGGGAGGATCCTGTGCCCGATCGAGAAACGCGTGTCGTCCCACAGGACTTACCTCTTCAACGAAAGATCTCTGGTGCATATTGGTCCAGCACATTTTGCAGGGGCACACGTCCTTCTCCTTGAGGCTGTCGCCCCTGTCCCTGTCCCTGGCGCTGACCTGCGGTGGCGGCGGCGGCACCGGCGGCGGCAGGGGGCTGGTCGCCACCTCCAGGCTATCCGAGCTGGAATTGTGGCGCCTGGGCGGCGTGATGTTCGTGGTTATGTTCCCTTGCGAAGAGACGTGCTTCGTCTCGATCGATCTCCCGTGATCGTTGGACTTGGAGTGGGACGGCGACAGGTAGACGTTCAACATGCACTTATTGCTATTGCCACCACTCTGCTGGGGCTGGGGCCGCAGGAAATCGTCTAGCAGGTAAAAGCTTTGCGCCCGGCTGGATCTAGTCGAGGCGCCGCGCGTCTCGCTGCTCTGCTCCGTTTTGCAGATGCTCTCCCGATTAGTCCTGGCCCGGCACTCCTCCTCGAACTGGTGCCTCACCTGAAGATGCCTCTCCTCGACGGTGTCTCTGTCCCCGGAAGACTCGCCGTCCTGGTACAATCTGCGACTGACCTTCGACCGGCCGGTCTGCCCGAACTCCCCGTTCTCTCTGTAGATGTCCCTGCTGACCCTGCTAACCCGGGCGGAGTAAGAGGTCGGCTGCTGCTGCTGCTGCTGCTGCTGCTGCTGCTGCTGCTGCTGCTGCTGCTGGGGCTGTTGTTGCTGCTGCTGCTGCTGTTGCTGCTGCTGGTACTTGCTCGACATGTAGCAGGCGCCGAGCAGATCCTCCGAGATCCACCGCAGGTCCGACTGCTGGACCCCGTGCGAGCCAGTGCTAGCTGGGGTCCTGAGCAGAGCGCCCAGCGACCGCCACTTCCTGTCCTGCTGGCTCGCGGAACTGGAAGACACCGAGGACCTGGTCCACTTCCTGTCGTTCCCGGTGGAGGAGGACAGACCAGCGTTCCCGACCGACCATTTCCTGTCGTTCGTCGGCGAGGTGACCGACGGCACCCACTTGCGCTCGTTCGACGGGGAGGCCATCGACGTGCTGGACCATTTCCTCTCGGACATGGTGGCGGTCGAGGCTAGAGCTCGCTCCGATCCGGTCAGTTGATCCTCCCGTTGCCTGGCCTTCCACCAGGAGGACGTCGAAGCGAAGAGGATCAACGCGCCTCGGAGGGGATTCTGGTTCTTCGAGGTGCCGCCTTTGGGCGAATGTTCCCGGTGGTCCTTGATCTTGAGCGAACAGTCCCTGTAGTTCGAGTCGCACTCGCGGTCGCTGAACGCCGAGGCGTCGCGGTCCCACAGCGCGCTCTTCTGCGCTGCTACCTCTTCCTCATGGTAGAGAGTGGCGTTCGTGCTGCGCAACCGTGGCCTGATCTTGACGAAACCGTAGTCGTTGCCGTCTTGAAGGGACTCCAACGCCTCGACTCGGTGTTGCACGGTGCCGGTGCTCGATTGCTGCAGCAGCGAGGACTGCCCGGAGTACTGGTGATGACCGGTGCCGGTGCCCGTGCCTGTCGTTGTTGTTGTGCCTGTGCCTGTGCCTGTGCCTGTGCCTGTGCCGCCGCCACCGCCGCCGCCGCCGCCGCCGCCGCCGCTGCCGGTCAGCTGAAGGCTAGGCTGCTGCAGCAGCGTCGAGGTCCTAGCCCGATGTCCCTCGCTGGCAGTGCCGCGCTGCAGGCAAGAGAAGCTCGCCGAGTGTCGCAAGCTCGAGGGCGGGTTTCCCGGCTGACTCACGCCCAACATCTTTCCTGTCCCCCTCTTTGATATTCAGTCTTTGATCTCTTCGGGGTCTCTAAAGGGTGGCCGAAGGTCTTTGTTCGTTGGCTCGGCGGAGAGGGAGAGTCCGTGGATATCGCGGCTCGACGGACAGACGGATAGACGGATGGACGGACGGACGGACGGTTTTCGAGGTTAACAGCCTCGTCTCGTCATCACTGGTGGCAGTGAGCTTTGTCGCCGATCGATCGATGATCCCAGTGAATTTCGCGGATTAAACGGTCCCCTGCTCTCGTCGGCAGCTGGTGGCGATGGTGACGGCGGTCTCGTCGTTCCGACGTGCGCATCGTCGTCGCGGTAGCGTCAACCGGCGGCAGCCCACCCTCGGCTACATCCCCGTTGGTCCCGGCGACTCTATTCGTACCGTGCGCCGACGGTTCGCACGAAATCTGGAACAGAAAGTAGGAGACCAGGATAGGGGCTAGCAACTCAAAAGAAAAAACTGCCGGCGTAAACGTAATTCGGAAGCGACGAAGCAGCGGCCACGGGTGTTTATCTTTTTTCCGTTGCAGTTCCGGCGACGGGTGTTCGCCGATGGCTGAGGCGATGCTCGTCGCCAGGCTGCCGGGGATGTACCGGGTGTCGGGATGCCGATGGCCAAAGTATTCGTCCATTCGCATGCGCCGCGTATTATCCGAAATTCGATCTCTCGTCCGAGTCGGAGCGCGCGCGAATCGACGTTTCCGACGTTAACTTTAACATTTGCCAAGCGTGCCAAGTCTATCGCGAATGGACGAATACTTTTCGAACCGAGCGATCCAAGTTTTGCTGAAAAGAAAACCGGATCGTGCGAAGATGTACTTTCTCGGTATACATAGGCTGTTGCGACGCATGCGCAGGTTCGTTGACGATTTGCCGTTGCGATTGCTTCGCGAAAGTTGCTAATGGTTCAAGCGGATATTTCGTGGACACCGTGTATTCGGCGAGCAGGATTCTTAAGCATGAGAAAAGAATGCGAAACGATCTCGGTGAGATGGTCCAGAGATCGGTGAAGAGCGAAGGTCGTTCCGCGACCGATGCCTAAGGCCAGGCACCGGGGATGTCTACCGAAATGCTTCGAAAATTCGATTTCCCTTTGATGCGCCGGAAAATCGCCTCTCGAGGCTCTTTTCGCGTATCGACCACGTCGGACATAGAATATTTCGAAAGCCTTGCAAACACGAATGAAAAGAAATCTTTCGTTCGGACGTCGAATTTGTCAAGTTCACGCGTTGCCATGCTCTTCGACTCGAGATTTATGCAGCTACACGAAAGAACAAGCATGGAGAAAATATAACGAAACATAAAAGTAAGCAGTTGAAATAAAAGAAAAAGCAGAAAGAAACTTCACAGGGGTAACGGGATCGGGTCGGAGTCAGAGTTGTCTATCTAAAATTCACATGACACACAAGTAATCTAGGAATAAAGAAGGGAATCAAGAATGTCACGCGAAAGGTTCTTTCCTGGAGGTCTCTGGTTCCGAAGTTCCAAACGTAGGGCAGAGCCCGATGCGGCAAAATCCATCGATACGATCGATCAACGTGCCAGTTGTTCCAGTATCGACACGAGTTGGCGACGCGTCGAACGAACGCATCGGATTCCGTTGGACGTACGAGCTACGTGTATTTATAGTTTCCGCGTTGATAAGAAAATCTAAAAACCGATTGATAGGCTTGCGGTAGGTAAAGTGTCGAGATAATAACTCGGAAGGGGGGCGAAAGAAGAGTGGCGCAACGTCGTCGAACGAAACGGAATTCGCCGATCGTAACACGTATCGCAGCAGCGGGTTGTATCTCGCGTCGTCTCGGAGATTTCTCTGAGTTTACGGCAACGGCACGCGGCTGTCTGCCGGCCGTCTATGTAGGTGCAAAACAGTGAAAGGTTTGTCCGAGGCGGCACGAAAGCGAAGTGACAAACACCTACACGGTCGGCGCGGCGCGGCGCGGCGCGGCGCGGCGACGATGTGTACAACGAGGGGAAAAAGAGGAGAAAAAGGTGGAAGGAAAAAAAGGCAAGGCCGTTCGACAGCGGATAAAAGTTCACGCTTGCATCGATTGCGAAAGAACCGCCGCTGCCGCCGCTGCCGCCGCTGCCGCCGCTGCTGCCGCTGTCGCAAGAATAATCACGGCTAATGGGGAATAAGCCGGACCGCGAACGGCCGGGGAGATCTGACTTAGAACTTCATTTTAATTCCGCTACGAGATAGCAATTAGACGGTGATACGCGGCCCGCCGCGAGCCTGCACTTTCCACCAGCTGGCTGCGCCGTTGTAGACCAGTTCCCTTACGCCCGCACGCTCCGACGCGACGGCCGGACCATTGCACTGACATTGCTTCAGTGCGTTCTTTCGCGAGCGCACTCGCGAGAGCACGGTTTCGACACAGGCGCGGAGAAACGAGCGATCTCTTTGTCCTTGCGCCGGATAGTTTCGACGATCAATCGGCATTTCCCATGCCGATCATCATCGCGCGCAACTTCTGATCCGGACACCTATTCTCGTCCGAACCGATTTCATCTTATCGTAGCGTGCACTTGTTCGTCTATTTCGAGTTCGGTGCTGTGTCTATACAGATAATATTCGATGACTCGCTTACGCGAAATTTTCCATCGGATCCGTCGAGAAACAAGGAAATCCGGATGTTCGTCGTTCAAGACCGATATCGGCGAGCAACGGAGCAAAGACACGACTTTCCGCGGTTTCATTCCGACGTTTGCCACGTCCGAGAAACCGCGGGAGCGTTCGGTCTCGCAAACTCGCCTCGCAATTCTAATGCAGTCATTACCCGGGACCGTTTAAATGGAAAAACCGTCCCTCCGTCTTCCCTCCGTCTTCCCTCCGTCTTCCCAGCAGTCCGTTAAAATCTCCGCGCGCGCTCTCCGAGTCGCGGAGCTAAAACGCGAAGCGGCGTTTAATTAATCCGCTGGCTTGACCGAATTTTTTTCATATTTTTTGGGGACGGCGCGCGATGCGGATCATCCTAGAAACCGCAGAACCGTATAGTATTCAGTGCATGAAAGCGCGGAACGCGAGGCAGCCGTGTGCCGCGTGCAGTCCGGCTCCGCGCCGATCGAGAGTGGAATCGTATCGATTCGTTCGGAAATGCGGAACGAGGAAATTTCATGTATCTCGCGAGAGAGATCGCAGCTGCGGGCTTTCGCCGGCTGCTTCAATTTTCAGCTGATCCATCGCGCCGCGTCGCGACAGGCTACAAAGGAAAACCGGAAAATACAGGAAAGAATTTTCTTCTCGAATGAAATCGAATCGAAGCGATTCCGTTGCTGCGTGCTCGTTGCTCCTCGTAACTCGCTCCCGATCGCAGAGTTCCGTCTTCCGTGCGTCGCGCAGAGCTACTGCGTCCGTTAACGGTTGGCAAATAAACCAGCGATCCAAGAAACCCGATCGAATTCGCTGCACGCGATGGAACTCGCTGATTTCCCAGCGATCCAGGATCGGGCGGTTCGCAATTGAATTACAAATGGTCGGCCGATAATAACGGCCGTCCGAACGCGGTACGTAACCCGCGAGAGCGCGCGTTCGCGCTCTGGATATGCATCCCGTCAACCTGGTTCGCGTAATTGGCCAGAAATCTTCGGCCGTGACTAATTGCACGCCCGGTATGTGGAATAAGCGCGCGCGCTCGGGCGCCTCTCCGCTTCTTGCCCAAGATTCGCGTTGCGAAAGAAATTTGAAAGCTCTTCCTCCGCGTTCCGCGCTCCCGAGGGCGGGAAACCGACAGGCTAAGGCGGCACGGCAAGGGGAAGGGGGCTGATTAATTTTGAAAGGCGACGAGTTACGTGAACAACACGCACGGCTCGAGGAAAATGCGCGAGGCGAACCGACCGAGGAGGTTCAACGGGGATTGCACCACGGACGAACCGGCCGCGATTTATTTCCTCTTACTTTCACGGATATAAGCCGACAGCTGCTCTTCGACCGTTGACGCGGGACGCGTCGCCGCTCGGTCCGAGCTTCTTTTCGAAAGGATGCTCTTTCGCGCGCCCATCTTCTTCCCTTGGACACCGAATCTAGATTCTAGCGGGAAGATCACCGACCGACTCCTTCGACTCCTGTGCGACTTTCTAATGGAAAATCCTGCGAGATTCCGACCGGGCTTCTTATAAAACGCGAACCTTCCACTTTCACCTCCCCTAAGGTATTTTCTCCGACGATGCTCCTGCCTTATGCAATAAATGGGAAAGTAAAGATACTTTTTTCATACGACAAGCGTCACGCTCCGACGGTCCAAGCGTCGATCGTGTTTCCGAAAATCTCGTGGAATTATGCCGAGTCACGGTGCAGACCTGTGTACCACCGGTGATACCGGGTTGTTAACACTTCGAACACCGTGCGAGTTATATTTAACCGACGCTGTGTTTGGTCAAGAGGTTGCGCGAGTTAAATATAACTCCAACCAAGAACTGGAATCAACGTTCCGCGAGTTGGATACGCTTCGCGTTTGCCACGTTTCGTAGTTATTATTTTTCGTCGTTGCGGAGACTCGAGGAAAAATTCGGTAAGATGCTCGTAACGTTCGATCGTGCATCGAGATTGCGAGAAACAGTGGTTAACTCGGTTAATCGAGCTTTCGCTTTCTACTACTTTCCCCGTTTCTCAGTGATTTCGACTCATCGACAGTTTCCTGGTACTTTTCCACTCGATTTTCCTTTTTCCCCATTTTCGAGCGGACAGCGTTCTCCAGTCGGGTCCCGGACTCGCCATCGACACGCCGCGTGATCGCGCGAGCACACCTCGATGCGTTGTTCACCGGTCGAAGGGAAGACCGGCGATCGCGATGAAACGAGCGATCAAACGAGCGATCAAACGAGCGATCAAACGAGCGATCAAACGAGCAGCTATGGCTCGCAGGTCCGGGACTCGGCAGGCCGCGCGGAAAAAGAGATTAGCGCAATTACTGCTGGCTATCCCGAGCCTAGCCAGAGGTGTGCACTTACACTGTACAATTTGTCGCTGGATTCTTAATCGATCAACGACCGCGGCCACCGCAACCGTATTTCGGGCGGCGGATAATTACATCGATCGGGATCGAACCCGGGCAGACCGTTCAACGTTTGGAATGTCGACGAACGGTCGGATCGTCGAGTGGTCTGTTATTTTCTTCCGCGAATCATGCGAGGATAAGTTCGTCGAGAGAGATGTATCGACCGAGCCGCGTTTTCAGATGCGACGGCTCGGCTTATTCCATTCATCCTCTCTCGATTATCGGAAACAATCGAGGAACGATCCTTTCGCGAAAGAAGGGACTACGCGAACTGCGAAATACGGAGGGGTGTTCAGTTCGAAATCTCGGTTCGCTTACAGAGTGCTTGTCGGTGAATCGATCGATTCGAGTGCAAAGGGTTCAAAGTGGCCGACAAAAGACGAATGTTTCATTCGAATCCGGAGGAATGA